GGAACATTTGTCTCGCCCAGAAATTTTGTTATGTTAAGAAATGAAATATATAATTGCATTATGTGTAAATTCTAGGCTATTGTACTACATAAGCAAGTAGCTGCATATACCGGTTGGGGATTTCCTTCACATATTGGACCAATCAGAAATCAAAATTGGGTCCCCTATCTTGATTTCATCCAATCTAAGTGGAAAAAAAATCAGTTTTATGTAAACAAACTACCTTGAGATTGTAATGGAAGGGATAGATGCAGACAAGACTCTTAATTCATTGAAAATCAGTTATCTCTCGAAATTAGCAGAATTCTACAGGTAAGGATCTAATTTGTATCATGGCATTACATTTTTTGCCTTATTTGCAATCGTTCATACATTTTAAAATCTGCATGCTGGACAGAAACCCAAATTTACAAGTTTTCTCTATATTCACATAAGCATGCACCTATCTTAGCTACCTAAAACCATATATTGTATTTGAATATTTGCTTGAATGATTTTTTTGGAAATTAAATCATAAATCAATGACATTTTAAAGATTAATTGTAAAATAACTGGTTTGTGCCACCTTAAAAGCAAATATGTATTCAAACAATCTAAAATATCCCCTTTTGTAATTTGAAATTATACATCTAATGATTAACAATAAGAAATATCATAGTAACAGTCTACCGGTACTAGCAGCAATACAAATAAAATACATATGTTTACAAATTCTTTGAAATAAAAAATATACAGCAGATCTTTGTTAGTCAGAAAGTAAGTATTTAATATCAAATACCACCTAATTAAAAATATAATTTTATATTATGTAAAGATAAAGCTTAATAATATATGGAACACAATTTTACGACAACGCATATTTAAAAACATGTATAGATGTTTAGTATTTAAATTTCATGCCTTAACAGACATGTGATGTCTTTAAAAGACTGCATTAAAAAAAAAATGTCCAAAGATATATAAAATAATATCCAATGTTATGGCACTAATTGAAAGCCTTTAAAAGACTTCATTTAAAAAAAAAACAATAGTTCAAAGTTACATTATAAAAATTTCAAATATTATGGCACTAAAATAGGACTAGAGTAAAAAACAAATAAATGCTTAGGATATTTGTGCAAAATAGCCACCTGCATAAAAAACTTGATGTGTTGGCAAAATGAATGTCAAATCATAAATAGAATGCTGGAATATAATTTGACATGAGCAGATCATTTGAAATGAAATTTGAACTCAATTTGTTACTCATCAGGATACCCACATAAACTAACTAGAGGCTCTCAAGAGCCTGTGTCGCTCACCTGTATTTACTGACGCTTTGGAAATCATGTAAAATAAGGTTAAAATCATAATTAATAGCATTAGATATTAGATATTATAATGATATCTAAGAAAATTAACAAAAAACTGCAAAATTTTTGTAAAATTACTAACTCAGGGGCAGCAACCCAACAACGGGTTGTCGGATTCGTCTGAAAATTTCAGGGCAGATAAATCTAAATCTGATGAACAGTTTTGCCACCTGTCAGATTTGCTCTAAATGCTTTAGTTTCAGAGATATAAACCAAAAACTGCATTTTACCCCTATGTTCTATTTTTAACCAAGTTGGCCATGATGGTTGGAAGGCGGGGTCATCGGACAAATTTTTTAAACTAGATACCCTAATAATGATTATGGCCAAGTATGGTTAAATTTGTCTCAGTAGTTTCAGAGAAGAAGATTTTTGTAAAAGATTACAAAAATTTACGAAAAATTGTTAAAAATTGACAATTAAGGGCAATAACTCCTAAAGAGGTCGACTGACAATTTTGGTCATGCCAACTTATTTGTAGATCTTACTTTGCTGAACATTATTGCTGTTTACAGTTTATCTCTATCTATAATAATATTCAAGATAATAACCAAAAACTGCATAATTTCCTTAAAATTACCAATTCAGGGGCAGCAACCCAACAACAGGTTGTCAGATTTGTCTTAAAATTTCAGGGCAGATAGATCTTGACCTGATAATCAGTTTTACCCTATGTCAGATTTACTCTAAATGCTTTGGTTTCAGAGATATAAGCCAAAATCTACATTTTACCCGTATTTTCTATTTTTAGCCATGGTGGCCATCTTGGTTGGTTGGCGGGGTCATTGGACACATTTTTTAAACAAGATACCCTAATGATGATTGTGGCCAAGTTTGGTTAAATTTGGCCCAGTGGTTTCAGAGGAGAAGATTTTTGTAAAAAGCTAACGACGCCAACTATGCCGACGCAGACGACGGACGCCAAGTGATGAGAAAAGCTCACTTGGCCCTTCGGGCCAGGTGAGCTAAAAATTAGCTCAACAACTCCAGGCATAAAGGAAAACAATCTTTTTGGAACATATTTGGAATGACAGACAGACAGACTTGTGTTACATAGTATGACCGAGTCGGTTAGTGGTTTGGAGCATAAAAATCATGCATAACTAATTAAATCAATTAATGAAAATTAATGAAGAATAATAATAATAAATAAAACTAATTGACCTAATGCAAATTATCTGCCCTGAATTTGCAGTTCATACTGAACTTACAGAAGATTAATTTTAAACAATATGTATCCATTGGACACCATGCCCCACTCATATAAACATGTGAAATAAGTTTCAATATTATATGACCACAACTTCATAGTAAACTACCTTACACCTAAATTTAAACCTGATAATGGAAGATTCAACAAATAGAGGGACGCACAGACGGCAAACAATATGCCGGTACTATCGTAAGCTGAAAATAAAAATAAGCAGATCTGTACTAACAGCCACATGTTAAATTTGCACACCCAGAATGGTACTTTTTTCTTTGAATAAAATACCTACATTATATTTAGATTCTTAAAATTATCTGACTTAAACAAAAATGAGCACAATAACCAACAACAAATCATGCTTGCATAGAAGCATATTATATAATTACAACTTAAAACAATACATACATCTATTCAGACAAATTTTGCTCACGTGAAATTCACATGTATCTCAATTTATCATTAATTTCAAGTGTCGGAACTTCCCATGAAGTCAACATGAATTTCAAATAAACTCGCGTCACATGCAATTTTTCCTATGAAATTCATGTTAGTTTCACATGAGCATATTTTGTTCTGTGTAAAATAATATACACATTTATGTGCATCAAGAAAGTAACAATTATAACAAAAACATTAACAGCATGTATTGGTCATTGCTTTTGGGGCTTTGGAAAATAAAGGTCAAAGACTTTAAATTTTAAAAAGTAGCTTTCAGATCTTAAGTTGTTTCTTTGCTATAATATAATTCATTTATTGAAAAAATGTTTATTTCAAGCAGTATATACATATAATATGTTAATTAAATCAGTAAAACATTTTGACTCTACGACCAAACTTTATATTACAGAAAATTACATTGTAAGGGAAATAACTCTGTTTTAATATTTTAAGAATTCTAAGATTATTCCTAGATTCTTTCAAGTTTTCTAAACATTTCATAACATTTTGTTTCATTTCATTCCATTCTTATAGCCTTGAATTTTTATAGCATGATTATAAAACAAAAGCAAAAGTTAAATAACTGGCCTAAACAATATGGTCATCCATCTTTAAAAGTTAGGTCAAAGAACCAGCAAGAATTATGTTTCCCTTCTAACTGTTTATTGAAACACCAATATTCATCACAGGCAATTTACTTTAATTGGTCTAAAATAAACAAAAGGAATAATAGAAATTAATGAAGCTAATTAATATAAATGACTTGGAAAAAAACATTGGCTCACCATGATATAGCCTTTTTGCACTGATGCCATGTACAGCAATCATCAATCAATCCTGCACATTGGGGCAATACAAGGGACAAGGGCACAATTTTATGACGTGTTAGGAAACAGGGACCCAGTTTGAAACAGATGGGTCATAGGACTCTCTCTTTTTTGGGCCAGTGAGGGCACTGAATAATTACAATTGCATACAAAAGTATATAATAAAAATAAAGCTATCTATGGTCATTGCACAATTAAATACAGAATACAGATTATGATTATGAATGTGAAAAAAGTGGAAAAAACATCAATGATACATTGACTGCAATCTACCAACATAAGTATATAATTATCAACAAACAAAATAAAAATACTCTAAAATACATTTGTTACTACCTGTTTTATATTGCCTCTTTTTGATAAAGCAGTGGTAGGTGGGGGTCTACTGAATTCCCTAAGAAAATAAAAGAACAGAGTCCCCCCCGTTGCATATATTTTATCTGTTCAAGGTCAATAACTAAAAAAAAATGTTGTTTTCTAAAACTTTTTAAAATTATCTTAGAGAGTTGAAGACTTAAGAGCAATTTCTGATATATTTGATATTTCCAAGGGGGCATTACTCATTAAATATATTAGATCGGCAAATATTTCGAAATTTTCAGTGACATTGCTGTTATAAATCTATGATATAAGTTTCATAAAAATCAGGCAAGAACTGTAAACATGAGAACACTAACATTGCAATATTCCAAATAAATTAATATTTCTAAGGGGCAGAACTCTTTTAAAAATTATTGATTGGTACTGATTTTCAAACTCATCCAAGACATTGCTAATACAAAACCTTTGATATAAATTTCATAAAAATCTGGCAAGAATTGTACTGAACATATGAGAGCGCTAACAATGCAATTTTCCATATAATTAATGTTTCAAAGAGCAGCCGCATAACTCTTTTAAAAATTATTGATTGACACTGATTTTCGAACTCGTCCGAGACATTGCTAATATAAACCTATGATATAAGTTTTATAAAAATCTGGCAAAAATTGTACATGTGAGAGAGCTAACAAAACTGGACATGGACCATTGGAATGGTATTTCAATGTCCCTAGCAACACGTTGTGCGGAGGACAATAAATGCCAAATTCCCACTTTCAGTGAAAATAATGTGTCTTTTCCAGCATCCTGGTATGATCAAGTCCTGAGATCCTGAATTCCCGATGACTGAACTAGCCATTCCCGAATTCCTGCTAATTAACTGTCTCCCGAAAAAGGTCATTCCACCCCTCACTCAGCAAACATTGGAAACAAGTCAGCAGGAACTTCAATTAACGTTTTATGAGTGGTGGTTATTATGATAAATATGTCTTAAAATCAATATGTAGAATTTAAAAAAAAATGGCAGCATTCATTTCAAAAGAAACCAAAACATGTTTTTCAATCTAATAAAAAATTATTTGAAAAAAAACGGGACAGTATCAATATATAGGAATGTATCAGATCTCTTTTGAAGGATTAAACATACTTAACCACGAGTTATCAAAGTGCAAACTGAGCAACATAACTCACAAACCTAATTATAATCTGAAGGACTTTTATGTAAATTTGTGAGACAGGGGTCCAGTTAACACATCAATAAAAAGTTTGTTAAATCCTGTATTATAATTCTCAAATCAAACATGTATTATTTTTTTTTTATTTTCAACTTTTTTGGAAACTCCAGGATTCCATTCATGTGTATCATATAAGAATACATAACAGTGAAATCAACATAGTGTTTACATTGGTTAAGAAAGTAGTTTCGGCACCGACTATTAAAGTGTAAATCAAGGACAAAAATTCTAATGACCAATCACATTCAAGTATTTGTAGATATGCAAACCATTTGCAAATTATTAGGTACCAATTCACCAAGTATACTGTAAATATGTTAATTTTGAAATAAACTTATAGAATATAGGTAATGTAAACTGAGATTCATTTTATAATCATCATTATCACAAATTATCTTCCCTAAAAATACTGTTCTTAAAGACTTTTCAAGTGGACTTTTCTGTTTAATATGAGTCTTTTTCTTTTTCTGGACCATCTGTTCCAAAATGCATCAATTTTCTGTAGGCAGCAGGACCGTTCCAATATCCCCTGGAACAGATACATGAATTAAAAAATTTATAATTTGTCTGCACATTAAAATTTAAAAAAAAAAATGTAGCAATTTTTCACAACGTTCAAAGTTATGAGTTACAGAACCCTTGCAAGAACTATATGAGGCCTTTGTTGGTGGCCTACTGGAAGGTTAATGTTTTGCCTCTATCAAACATACCCTAATTTCATTGGCAGTCCAAATTTTACATCCTTCATTCTGGGCATCCTTCCTTGCAAAACCTATCTATTGTATTAATTGTTAATTTGTTCTCCTCCTGAAAATGCATGAAATATTTACCACTGGACATTAAATAAGCAACAATCAATCAATTTATGATATATTAAATTTATTTGTACGAGCTATAGAAACAAAGAGAAAAGCAAGGCTCAATGAACTTTTTTCCTCTTTCGTAGCAAGTCAAATAATTTTATATTTTCCTACAATATAAAATATTCTTATACTTTTATTGCTTCATGTTAACTGTACACCTGTATCTGTATAGTAGAAAGGTTCATTGCAGGATAAATACATGTATTATACCTGATCATAAAATAAAGATACTTTTTATTCCTTTTCCATCTGTTTTAAATATTTGTTGACACAAGTTTTTTGTAGATGAAATGTGAGTCTGGTTTACAAAATTTCTTCTCCTGGTATCTTTGATGAGTTTTTATGTATCACTATATATCTTCCAATAGGTGGAAAACAATTACTGTAAATTCAGAAATTATTGCGATGTTTCTATTATTGCGAAAAATGCGACAGGGTTATAATCGCAATAATTTAAACTCGCATTTTGAAATTTTTTATATGAATTAAATAGGATTTTTCTCAGCATCGCAAAAATTAAAATCGCATTTTAGTCAAAAATGACAAAATCGCAATAATAAATGCACGCAATAATTTCTGAATTTACAGTACCAAGAGAGGTTTGGTAGAGAGATATAAATCCTTCTCTATTTTTAGTTGAAAGTACTATATTATTCGAATGCCTATTTCCTTGTGTTGATGGATTACTGTCTGACTGACTCCTACAACAGCTAAACAATCAACCAATAACTAGATTATAAGTATTACTTTAACATCATGTTCCAGTAGATCATTGGTATAATATCTTTCTTCACATGGTACATTGATCTTCTCTCCTTTCCTTGGTCGATTGGAAAGGTCTCCAATGGCAAACTATCATAATTAAACTCAGCCATTATGCACTTTTCACGTCCAGTTATCAACGGACAGGACGTGTAGCCATCATACTGAAATTAAACTACATACTGTAAATTCAGAAAATATTCTGTGCATTTATAATTGCGATTCTTTAACAATGGACAAAATGTGACATTTATTATTGTAATTTCAGAAAATAAGTAAACACATTACGTGTACAAATAATGCTATTATAATTTAGAATAAATTTTTTTATTTTTGCGAAACCTATCCCATCACAACTTTCATAAAAATAAAAATATAGCAAAAATTTCTGAATTTACAGTCATCATTTTGGATTGTCAAATCTTGGACATTTAACAAAAAAGTGTCTGATGAGGAAATCTTTATTGACTGCCCTCTCAAAATATTTTATAAATAGAAATTGTGAAGTTCTGGTTTTTATATGAAAAACACAAAAATTGACTCAGCAGTTTTCAAGGAGTTGCTAATTAACAAACTGATATAAGCAAAAATGGCTAAATTCATGTTTTGGTATGGCAAACCTGAACAAAATAAAACGATGAAAAGTTAAAATATGATGCCTGCGGTGTTTAGGACCTTTAATTGCTCATAACTAGTGGTTTTTGTCGTGCTGATTGTTTTTGCTATTTACCTTTTTACCAGTCTTAAATGACAGCAAACACACTGCATAAAACAACATTTCAAAAACATAACCCCAAAACAGGTTGCCACATTAAAAAATCAAAACACTGTAAGCGCTGTAGGCAATTAACCAAAAACCAAGGCAAACGTAATTATGAAAACTGTGGCAGTGTTGCTTCATTTCTTTTAAAAAGATTTTAAAGAACAAACATTAAACATTCGTATATTGTACTTTTTGGAATTTAGGGTCTTCAATGCTCTTCAACTTTGTACTTATTTGGCTTTACAACTATTTTGATCTGAGCGTCACTGATGAGTCTTATGTAGACTGGCGTATTAAATTATAATCCTGGTACCTTTGATAACTAATTGTACATTTATGTTTATTTAATGAATTGATTATTAAGACAAATTAATTAATATTTCATCAAGGTTTTCAAAAGCAACGCATATATCAATGTAAATGACCCCCATCTTCACCCCAAGTCCATCATGTCACTCCATACCAAGTTTGGAATAAAATGACAGGTGACCATAAAACAGTTGGTCAATCATTCTTGGGCTTTACACTGTTTGAAAGATTTATATGTTTTCCTTAAAATGAGCCATACATGAAAATTATTATAGGCCTAGAAATAAAGTTCAATTAACCTGGACTCATTTTTTGCATCAATAAAATTTTATAATAAACAAGAAATAATTGTGACAGGATGCCGTTACAAAGTCTCCCAAACAAAGCTCACATAATTCGTCATTCGCATGGTCGCCTGACATTGGGCAAAGTCCAGTACATATTGGTTTGGTCTAGTAAAGTGATATGCATATGTGACCCTGTATATCATTCAAATCTTTTTGAAATGACGAACAAGAAAAAATAAAGTTGAGTAGTGGGTATCTCGACCATTTACAAGTTCTCAAACAGGAGGGAGTGGGGTGACCCAAGGGACTCCCCATATATTTCATTCGATTTGTTGTATTGTCCCATTCATGAATAAATATGGTTTAGTGGTGGGGATCTCCACCATTTCCAAGTTCTCTAACAGGAAGGGGTATGGTGACCCTAGGGACTCCCCATATATTTCATTTGATTTGTTGTATTGTCCCATACATGAATATATATGGTTTAGGGGTGGGGATCTCGACCATTTCCAAGTTCTCAAACAGGAAGGGGTATGGTGACCCTAGGGACTCCCCATATATTTCATTTGATTTGTTGTATTGTCCCATACATGAATATATATGGTTTAGGGGTTGGGATCTCGACCATTTCCAAGTTCTCAAACAGGAGGGGTGGGGTGACCCAAGGGACTCCCCATATATTTCATTTGATTTGTTATATTGTCCCATACATGAATATATATGGTTTAGGGGTGGGGATCACGACCGTTTTCAAGTTCTCAAACAGGAAGAGGTATGGTGACCCCAGAGACTCCCCCTATATTTGATTTGATTTGTTTTATTGTCCTATACATGAATATATATTGTTTAGGGGTGGGGATCACGACCGTTTACAAGTTCTCTAATAGGAAGGAGTGGGGTGACACTAGGGACTCCCCATATATTTCATTTGATTTGTTATATTGTCCCATGCATGAATATATATGGTTTAGGGGTGGGGATCTCGACCATTTCCAAGTTCTCAAACAGGACGGGGTGGGGTAACCCAAGGGACTCCCCATATATTTCATTTGATTTGTTATATTGTCCCATACATGAATATATATGGTTTAGGGGTGGGGATCTCAACGGTTTACAAGTTCTCAAACAGGTAGGGGTATGGTGACCCCAGGGACTCCCCATAAATTTCATTTGATTTGTTATATTGTCCAATACATGAATATATATGGTTTAGGGGTGGGGATCTCGACCATTTCCAAGTTCTCATACAGGAGGAGGTGGGGTGACACCAGGGACTGCCCATATACTTCATTTGATTTGTTATATTATCCCATACATGAATATATATGGTTTAGGGGTGGGGATCTCGACCGTTTACAAGTTCTCAAACAGGAAGGGGTATGGTGACCCCAGGGACTCCCCCTATATTTTATTTGATTTGTTTTATTGTCCCATACATGAATCTATATGGTTTAGGGGTGGGGATCTCGACCATTTCCAAGTTCTCAAACAGGAGGGAGTGGGGTGACCCAAGGGACTCCCCATGTATTTTATTTTATTTGTTATATTGTCCTATACATGGATATATATGGTTTAGGGGTGGGGATCTCGACTGTTTACAAGTTCTCAAACAGGAAAGGGTATGGTGACCCCAGGGAATCCCCTATATTTCATTTGATTTGTTATATTGTCCCATACATGAATATATATGGTTTAGGGGTGGGGATCACGACAGTTTACAAGTTCTCAAACAGGAAGAGGTATGGTGACCCCAGAGACTCCCCCTATATTTGATTTGATTTGTTTTATTGTCCTGTTCTTATTACTGAAGACCGCGTGTGTCTATCACTTACTGTTTTGGAAAAATAGTCATTTGAAAATTAAAAAAAAATAAAATCCCCTGGGGTTCTTCATTAAACCCCTCCCTTCTTTAGGCCCCTCAAAATTCCCCTAAATAGACCCCAATGCACAAACAAAAGCTTATGGCTCCCCTTTACATGTTAGTCTAACATTTTATGAAACCCTAAGAAAATCTGACAAGCTGTCCGAGTTGTCTATTTAGATGGTTCAAGTGGATTCGGTCCGACTTGTCTTGGGGACGAGTTGTCCACATTGCTTAAAACATCCCATCAATGTCGATTTCTGGATCTGTTTCTTGACCTTGTTTCAGTCATAAAAAAACAACCTTATTTGGCATGATAAGTTAAAATTACAGCCAACTTAGATATATAACTTTATTTCCTCTATCATAGAGATTTGTTGTACATGAACAATATTCCTGCGCATTTTGCCATTTGGGAAATATAAACAACTTGTAATTACGGATTTTCGGCGATGAAATATTTCATACACTTGTTCTTTGACATCCTAGCCAAAAGCACAGGAGTTATAAACTACGTACGGATTTCTATTGAGCACTATTTCCTATGTGCAACTTCAAACATTATGGGTCGTTTGACGATCATTTAAGGTTATTCTGGTCATATTTTTTGTATTCCAGAATTAAAAGTATGAAAAAAGTGTCCAATTAGTTATAAATAACATATTAGCCTTCTGGATTATAACAATGGCACTTTTTTCAGAATTTGTTGGGAAGAACACAAATCTAGGGTGCTAGCATAAGGCAGCTGAACTGCCTAATAAATGTGAATTGTGTCCACATGTGGACACAGATGATGCCCCCGCTTGCTTGCTTGTTTATAAAGGGGCATAACTCAAGAATGGTAAAAGTGACTCCACCGAATTTCGTACTTAAACTGTATTATGTAGTAATAAGCATTGTGTATAAGTTTCATAACATTTGGTTGAGGCAAACTTAAGTTATAGAATGGAAACTAAAATTTTTGCAATTTTTCGATTTATAAAGGGGCATAACTCAATAATGGTTAAAGTGACACTACCCAAATTCAACTTGATCTGTGTTTTATCAGTGGAAGGCAAAATTAAACATTGCATTGTATAAAGCATTGATTGTAGTTGATTCAACTATAATCATGGACAAAGGAAGATAACTCCAATTTTAATAAACAGCTGCGCCATGAGCGCATGATACGCCCGTCGTCTTGTGTGTGAATTTTTATGCAATAAGCATAAATAGTTTCTGACATACGGTGTGACATGCTAAAACACCCTTTTTTATTTTTACAAAAAACTCAATATCTCTAAAATAAAATTTTGAATCAAAACCAAAAAATATACAGATCTTTAGATTAATATAACTAAGAAGTGTGTAAAATTTTAAGCAATAATCATAAATCGTTTTTGAGATACGGCGCGACATGTGAAACACCCCTTTTAAAAAAAAAATCAATATCTCAAAAAAAAAATTTTGAATCAAAACCAAAAAGTATACAGATCTTTAGATTAATATAACTAAGAAGTGTGTAAAATTTTAAGCAATAATCATAAATCGTTTTTGAGATATGGCGCGACATGTGAAAAACCCCTCCCCTTTTTTGTACAAAATACTCAATAACTCAAAAATAAAATTTTGAATCATCACCAAAAAGTATACAGATCTTAAGGTTAATATAACTAAGAAGTGTGTAAAGTTTTAAGCAATAATCATAAACTGTTTTTGAGATACGGCGCGACATGTGAAAAACCCCTCCCCCTTTTTTAACAAAATACTCAATAACTCAAAAATAAAATTTTGAATCATCACCAAAAAGTATACAGATCTTAAGATTAATATAACTAAGAAGTGTGTAAAGTTTTAAGCAATAATCATAAATTGTTTTTGAGATACGGCGTGACATGTGAAAAAAAACACACACCTGTTTTAGTTACTAAGTCCTGTAACTCAAAAAGGTCTAAACTTATTTTCACCAAAAAGTATACAGATCGTTTGACCATCATAAGAAACAACTATGTTAAGTTTCATGAAATTTGGATAAGTCATTCTCAAGTTACGGTGCGACATGTTTGCGCCGGACAGACAGACGGACAGACAGACAGACAGACGGACGGACAGACGGACGGACGCCGGACATTTGTATAACATAATACGTCCTGTCAAAAATTTGACGGGCGTATAAAAATTACTTGAATAATGACATTGATATTTTTAGAAAAAAAATGAAAAATTTAGCAATTTTTCCATTTGTAAAGGAGCATAACTCTAGAACAATAAAAGTGACACCACTAAAATTGAAAATTGATCTGTGTATTGTGGTAATAAGCATTGTGTATAAGTTTCATAACATTTGGATGAGGCAAACTTAAGTTAGAGAACAGAAACGAAAAAAGTTTGCAATTTTTCCATTTATAAAGGGGCATAACTCTAGAACGGTTAAAGTGACGCCACCAAAATTCAAACTTGATCTATGTTTTGTGGTAATAAGCATTGTGTATAAGTTTGATAACATTTGGTTGAGGCAAACTTTAGTTAGAGAACAGAAACTAATTTTGGGACGTACGGACGTACGTACGTACTTACGGACGGACAACATGGACAAGGGTAAAAATTAATGCCCCCTCCACTTCGACGGGGGCATAAAAATCCAGTGTAGGTAGATCTTGATCCTTTTGCGATTTAAAATGTTAACCTACATGTTACTCCTATGGTTTTTTTTTAAATTTTATTTATACTGCTACATCAGTTTATAACATCAATTTTTGTTATCTATATATGTACCATAACATAAGCAGGTTTCCCATTCATTACAGCTGTCAGGTTTTTCTCCAGGTATCCACTCTGCGAGGCTGCAAGCAGTAATTAATTATTAATGATTATAATCTATTTATAGTTTCTTCTGATTCTTCAAATCCAGTGTGTGTCTGAGAGCTGATGCATAAACAGAAGGTTTAAGGTTCAGTGGCAAATATTACATGTACATGCAAAAGAATATAAATGTTATATGAATATGAACCTCTCTTTGTACAAGACCGACACACTGAGCCAGATTTTTAGTTTGCTAGTTCACAAGGTAACAGTCCACAGGAAGACATACTCCCCTACCCAGACACAATATCCTGACTCAGAGCCTACCAGTCTCTACTCTTATCCTAAAGGCTGTGTACTAAGCAGAGAATCAGCAAATACCTATGTTCAAGTCTTTGGTTTGTCGTGAGTGAGGGTCCAATCCAAGACCTCCTGTACACCAGGCAAGCATGCTATTTTGAGATCACCAATTGAAGGTGGCCATGGGTCTCTTCATCAACAATAGTGTGTAGTATAGTTGCTGGTGAAATTTTACTTTTTTTCTTGAAAAACAACACTAACATTATTATGCTATTTATTCAAAAGTGCTAGTTCCCAGACTTAATTTATTTAAAAGTGCTCGTTCCCAGACTTGATTTATTTAAAAGTGCTAGTTCCTAGACCTAATTTGAACCAATGCAATTATAGTCTTCCTGTAATTTATAAATTTATAAAATGATCGATCTGCATTAAAATTACTGTTTCGAATTTTGTTTTATTATAAGTTTTAAGAGCCCAGCCTTTTACTGGTCATGATTGTCCTACCTGTGTCCTCCACATTCTAAGCATATATCTATGGAATAAAATCACTTTACATGTCCTGTAGCAACAATAGTATTTTCATGAAATTACTAAGTGATGTTCACTGAAAACAAGTTAACTGGCATTTTTATCTGCAAATGAGATTTTTTTTTTGCTGGCGTAATTTATGAGAACTAACTAAGTTATCCAAGTATAATTTAAAAAGGCAAATTTTGCAGTGGCCAATCTCTGTGGTGTGTAGAAAGTGTATGCTGCGCTCCCCTTTGATCCCTTCTCCCTCAAAGAAAAGTTTTTCCTGATTTTAAAGATTTTTAGAATATAAAATCTTCCAAAAAATATGTAATTATATATATTCAGTTTCATCAAATTACACCCCCCTCCCTTTAACCCTTTAGCAAAATCCTTGATCAGCCCTTTTGGTACCTTTTGGAATGTATGTCTCTCAAACCAATGGCATAGATTCAAATCTTTTTTTTTGGTCATTTACGATTGATACACATGACTGTTATATTTTACCTGCCGCAGCTGCTGTCTTGGATGTGGGAGCATTAAAACAATCTCCGATGGCAAAGATGTTTGGATATTTTTTATGTTGTAGTGTGCCTTGATCAACATCAACATAACCAGCTTCATCTACCAAACAACTTTTTCTTACTGGATCTGGTGTAGACATGGGTGGTGTAATGTGCATGAAATCATACTGCAATATGAAGTAATTATAAAATCAATAAAAAAATAACTGTAAATTCAGAATTTATATTTTTGCAACGATTTACAGGTGCTATTGCAAAAATTGTGATAGACAGCTGTGGCACATATAAAAACTCACATTTCAAGTTTTAAGAGCATATATTATATGCAGTATTACCTGATGACCCAATAATTAAACTCACTTTTATGTCGATTGTTCAAAGAGTATTTTGTGTTTATTTACCTGATAAAAAAATCATTCTAGACAACACTTGATCTTTACACTTATTCAGCTAAAAAGTTCCTGAAAAAGCCTTTTTTTCACAAATATAAATTGTTTAAATTGCCAGTATGACATCACTTAAATGACATCAAAGTCAAATAAGTCCATTAAGACTTACCTAATCTAATATCTAATATCTTTTTTAAAATCTATATTCAGGAGTTTTAAATTAAATCAATTATGGTATTATACTTTTTGTCATTTTCAGTATATATGTACAATCAAATGAGCCCTAAATGAGCCTTATCCTTTATTCCCCAATATACTGATCTTTATCACATGTTTTGTATATTTTTGCTTGAAGTCAGAGTAAGTTTTTTGTCCTCAGGGCCTATATCCATATTTGCCCTCAAAAACCCATATTGAGCCCCTGAGTTAACTTCTGGTAAACCTGTCAATCAAAAACAATAAATATGATATGTGATAAATAGATCATTACATGACATTTTCCATATTGGCCCTGGTATCAGCCCTTAACCCATATCAGCCCTCAGGCTATGCCCTCTGGCTTGATATGGGAGTCTCAGGCTGATTCGAGGGCCAATATGGAAAATACCATGTAATAAGCTATAATTATTATCAGATTAGATTATAAATATCCTTACCTTAAAGGTTTCAGTTTCTCCTGATGGACTGTCTAATTTCTGAAAAATAGCCTCTCTTTTATCTGTATTGACCTCTATCAAATTTCTTTGATAATTGATTTTGATATCCCTGTAAAATAAAACAATACAATTAGCTAAATTAATAAATATTCTTGAGACTCAGCCCAAATTTAATTAGACACAGGATAATAAAGGATATGTGTGTCTCATTTTTTCAACTTCTACCTGAATATTGTGTTATATCAGCAGGGTCTCTTGCCATCTTGGTTTGTAAGAAAGCAGTAATTATAAGTCAAAATATTTGATGAAATATGCAAAATTTGAGAAAGGGATGCAATTCATTCATAAGACATTTCATCTAGATATTGATTTATCATATATTTTTACAATTGATTTTTACAAATACACAAAGTCTGTGTTTTATTTAATATTTTTAATATAAGGGGAGGTAACTCAGATAACGTAATTTTATAATGAATATACATCTGATGAGTTAAGCCTTTTTCAACTGATTTTTATAGTTTGTTCTTATCTTGTACTGTTACACCACTGTCCCAAGTTAGGGGAGGGTTGAGTGCTCATAAACATGTTTAACCCCGCCACATTCTTTATGTGCCTGTCCCAAGTCAGGAGCCTGAAGTTCAGAGGTTGTTGTTGGTTCATGTCTGTCATATTTGTTTTTCGTAAACTGTTTTGTTATAAATTAGGCCTTTAGTTTTCTCAATTGAATTGTTTCATATTTTTCATGTCGGGGCCTTTTATTGCCGAGCATATGGTACCATGTATACGGTATTGGTGTTTCTCATTGTTGAAGGCCGTACAGTTGCCTTTAATTGCTTACATGCACTGCATTTGAACTTTGGTGGATAGTTGTCTCATTGGCAATCATACCACAACTCCTTATTTTTATATACAGTAAAAGCATTTAGTTGTGTAGCAAGGAAACAAGTACAGTAACTCCAATCACGATTTTATTTTTGAAAGTGTATTGTAAGCACTATCTTCTCATATTCTATTTTATAATTCTATAATTAAGTAAAACAAATTCTAGGTTTTTATCAATGTATAATTGTTACAAAATCTGACAATTTTGCATAACAAGTTAAAGTAGCTTGAAAAAATTCTTCCTGGTTCCAAATTTAAAAATATCATGATATAAACAACATTTTTTGCAAATTATTTTAAAACATTCTATTGTTTTAAATTTAACCACCTCTAAACATCTACATGGTTTCATTTATAGATAGAGTTAAACTTATTTTGATTTATTGATTGCATGGTGTTAAATGCAACTTTCAGCCCTTTGGCTATTTTGTCAGTTTTTTGATGGTGGGGGAAGCTGAAGTGTCCGGAGAGAACCACAGCGTTGACAGGAAAACTGAAATTTTGCTTGAAGTCTTTATTATTATATGGAATAATGGAAGATCAAAAGATACATTTTGAAAATATAACCAGAAAAAGCACTAAATTACAAAAGTATTACTTTAACAAAACAACGAACTTCCATGATGGTCTAGTAGTAAGATGCTAACTAATGTGTAGAAGGTAGACAACTTTCATTCAGTGGAGGTTTAGCTGGCTATAAACCAGGTTTAACCCTACATTTTCTTCGGAAAATTCCTGTACTAAGTCAGGAATACGACAGTTGTTTTCCATTTGTTTAGTTGGTTGTCATAGTCAAGTGTTTGATTATGTCCAGTGTTATGGACTCCCCCCTTATTAAATTTACCTTGGAGTTATGTATTTTTGTTAGTACTTTTTAATTTATAATGTAAAATAAAACATACCTACTGTCCACCACTTTATGTAGGCCAGCAGCATACTTCTTCACACCAAACAGTACAGATAATGATGTATTATACATCACAGTGGCCTTGTCTCTCACACCACTCTGTAATAAAAAGATATAAAACACAGTTATATAAACAGTACAGATAATGATGTATTATACATCACAGTGGCCTTGTCTCTCACACCACTCTGTGATAAAAAGATATAAAACACAGTTATATAAACAGTACAGATAATGATGTATTATATATCACAGTGGCCTTGTCTCTCACACCACTCTGTGATAAATACAATAAGAATACATGCGTTGATGTGCTATATATATAAGCATACCCCACTTGTCACTCAAAGTAATGGTTAACAAGACGAAGGTATATGACAGATCCAAAAAATGCACATGTGTTACAACTCATCACTGTCAAGCTGCTGACTTAATATGCCTATTTTTCTGTATTTTTTTTATCTATTCTATAAACCCCATCCAGTCCCGAAAAAACAAGTTTAACCCCACCACATTCTTTATGTGCTTGCCCAAGTCAGGAGTCAATGTTAGTTCAGTAGTTGTACTTGTTTCATGTCTGTCAAATTTTTTCTATAAATTGCTATGTTATGTTCATTTTCTGAATTGAATTTTTTCATATTTTTCATGTTGGGGCCTTTTATACGATATGAGTTTTTCTCATTGTTGAAGGCTGTAATTTCTTACATCCACTTCATTTAAACTTTGGTGAATAGTTGTCTCATTGGCAATCATTCCACATCTCCTTATTTTTAGACCGAAGTCCAGGAATTTTACAGCCTTACCTTTTACTCATACTAAGGCAGTGGGGATAGCGCCCTATTCTGCCTAAAACTAAATTGTACAAAAATGTATTAATTCTATACATTTTTAAAAGGCTTCTGTACAACCAAATGAATTGACTACCAAAACATAAGCCATATTTCACATGAAAGCAGAAATATCATGTTTACATAGGCAGGATTGCTTAGACACAATTGTAGAAAAAAGCATTAATTATTATAACAAGTTTTGTGCTATCCACCAGAGACCAAATGATGTAGATGTTAGCTACTATAGGTCACAGTAGAACCTTTAGCTACTATAGGTCACAGTAGAACCTTTAAGTCCAAGTCTATGAAAGTTGTGAATGCATAAATCATGGACTACAAAAGAGCTGTAATTATTATTAGAACTTTAAATGATTCTCAGAACTTCCTGGTTTTGAACCTGTTGCCATACCTGTGAGGTAATGTTTTTTTTTCTTATTTCAATTTATGAATAAAATGCTCCGCAGGGCGCAGCTTGATACATCCGCAGAGGTCGAACCCTGAACAGTTGGGGCAAGTATGGACACAACATTCAAGCTTGATACAGCTTTGCATTTGGATTGTGATTAAATATTTGACACAGCATAGGTTTCTGACACAGAATGAATGTGGTCTAAGAACTTAAAAATTTTAAATTGGACATTCACCTATTATGGTCCAATATCCAAAATCTAAATACATGGTTAGATTCCGCATATCAAAGAACCCCAAGAATTCAGTTTTTGATGAAATCAAACAAAGTTTAATTTTGGACCCTTTTGACCTCAATGTGGACAAAGTTGATAACGGGGCCCAAAAATCAAAAATCTAAATACATGGTTAGATTTAAGCATATCAAAGAACCCCTATATATTCAATTTTTGTTGAAATCAAACAAAGTTTAATTTTGGACCCCGATTTGGACCAACTTGAAAACTGGGCCCATAATCAAAAATCTAAATACATGTTTAGATTCAGCATATCAAAGAACCCTAAGAATTCAATTTTTGTTAAAATCAAACTAAGTTTAATTTTGGACCCTTTGGACTTTAATGTAGACCAATTTGAAAACGGAACCAAAAATTAAGAATCTAAATACACGGTTAGATTCGGCATATCAAAGAACCCCAATAATTCAATTTTTGATAAAATCAAACAAAGTTTAATTTTGGACCCTTTGGACCTCAATGTGGACCAATTTAAAAACGGGGCCCAAAATCCAAAAACTAAATATACGGTTAGATTCAGCATATTAAAGAACCCCAAGAATTCAAGAATAAAACCCCATTGAAATTGGTCAAGAAATAAGCAATTTATACGAAGTATCTTCTTTTGCACAATACTGTGCAATTAAATATTTCTTGCTATTGCGCAATACTGTACAATTGACAATTTCTTGCTATTGCGCAATATTGTGCTAATGGATATTTCTTGCTATTGCGCAATACTGTGCAATTGAAGATTTCTTGCTATTGCGCAATACTGTGCAATTGAAGATTTCTTGCTATTGTGCAATACTGTGTAATTGAAAATTTCTTGCTATTGCACAATACTTGTTATATAATAATTTACACATCCTGTTTGGTGTGTATCTCCTACCATATCATTATCATTTGCTTAAAAATATAAATCAGAAATAACCAACTTAAAATGGAAAATTTTAAAAGATAAAAAAAGGAAAAAAAGAAAAAAAAGGAAAAAAAAAAATCCCCCGCCCCAAATTTTTTGAACCCCCTTATGATTCATCACCCCCAAACTCAATCCCAGCCTTCCCTTTGTGGTATGGTACCTTGCAGTACAATTTCAGAGAGATCCATACACTTGAACACAAGTTATTGTCTGGAAACTAGAAAAATGCTTATTTTTGGCCCTTTTTTTGGCCCCCAATTCCTAAACGTTTCGGCAATTACCCCCAAACTCAATTCCAGCTTTCCCTTTGTGATATGGAACCTGGTAGTACAATTTCAGAAACATCCATACACTTACACACAAGTTATTGTCATGAAACTAGAAAAATGCTTGTTTTTTGCCCCTTTTTTGGCCCCTAATTCCTAAAATTTTGAGACAATTACCCCCAAAATCAATCCCAGCATTCCTTTTGTGATATGGAACCTTGTGGTACAATGTCAAAGATATCCATACACTAACACACAAGTTATGTCTGGAAGTTACAAAAATGCTTATTTTTGGCCCCTTTTTGGCCTCTAATTCCTTTACTGTTGGTACCATAACCCCCAAAATCAATCCCAACCTTCCTTTTGTGGTATTGAACCTTGTGGTAAAATTTCATAGAGATCCATTCACTTAAACTAAAGTTAGAGTGCGAAAACCAATGTGTCTTCGGACGACGCTGGACGACGCCAGACGACGACGACGACGCCAACGTCATACCAATATACGACCACAAAAATTTGTTTGCGGTCGTATAAAAATTGCTCTTCTGTAGTCATGAAGGTTTTTTCATCTAAATTTTTTGCAATATCATTAATTTGACAATACTGGTTTATAAAAACATAGTAGCTATTTTTTTTTTAAATACTAACATGACTAAGCCATATTTTAATCCTGCCATTTTTGTTTGATGTAATATAAAACTAACAATCAAGAGTGCACACGCTGAAATGTCTCGCCTGCTTTTCTGGCCATTGATTTTATGTTGAAAGTCTTAAAAGATAAAGGTTTTACTAAAAGCATTACAGTAACTTAACATTTTTAAAGATCTACGACAATGAGGTCAAGGTCAGATAAATTGTCAGAGACATATACACCTTACAATTTTTTATACACAAAATATAGTTGACCTATTGTGTATGGTAATTGAAAAACAGACCAAAACACAAAAACTTAACAATGACCAACGAACCATAAAAATGAGGTCAAGGTCAGATTATACCTGCCAGACAGATATGTGCACCTTACAATTATTCCATACACCAAATATAGCTGACCTATTGCTATAAGTATTTGAAAAACAGACAAAAACACAAAAACTTAACATTGACCAATGAACCATGAAAATGAGGTCAAGGTCAGATAATACCTGCCAGACAGACATGTACACAATACAATGATTTCATACACCAAATATAGTTGACCTATTGCTTATAACTTTTTATAGTACTTGAAAAACAGACCAAAACACAAAAACTAAACATTGACCAATGAACCATGAAAATGAGGTCAAGGACAGATGAAACCTGCCAGACTGACATGTCTCCACTTCAATCATTCCATACACCAAATATAGCTGACCTACTGCTTATATTATTTGAGAAACAGACCTAATAACGTAACTTTATAACCTTGATCACTGTTCCATGAAATGAGGTTGAGGTCATGTGAACTCTGTCTGACGGACATGTAAATGTTGCAAGGAACCCATATACCCAATATATAGTTATCCTACTACTCATAATAAGCATGATAAGTGAGAAACTCATTTTTTCAAGCAGTGGCTAAACCATCAAAATGAGGTCAAGGACAATGGACATATATGACAGACAGAAACTTCGTAACATAAGGTATCTGCATACAAGATATGAAGTATCCAGGTCTTCTATCTTCTGAAATGTTAAAAGCTTTATACAAAGAGTTTACACCGCTGCCAATGGATAGTAATACCTATGTCTCGCATACAAATGTAAATACGTGTTTTGTACTGGCCGGAGATGGCTGACAACAATTATTTCTAATGCCCTTCTGTTAGATTATAATAATTTTTCACTTTGGTAATCTATCTATTCTCTAACCAGTCCTTGTCATAGATATAAATCCTACCTTTTGCCAGGCCTCTTCAGCTAAATACATAATTTTCTGTGGAGCTCCTGCACATTTAACTGGTGTATTTGGCAGTGTAAATATAGCATTACCTCCCTTGAACTTTTGAATGGCTGGCCATGTTTTCTGCACATATTGATAGTCATAATTCGAACAGATCATTGGATCTTTGTCAAATCCTTCTGGTAAACCTTTGATCTGAATAAAACAATTATACATTAAAGTCAATGCAAAAACTTTCATCATACACTTCTGAAAGCTCATGACTCTTGAGGAATCACAAGAAAAATCCCATCCAAAGTGGATTCAAAAGCTCTATTAAAATAGTGCAAAGGGATTGGTTCAGTAAGAGCCCTGACTGGGCCCTAATATCAAATCCATCATTTCAAGAATTCTTTTTTTTTGAAGTTGATGAATATTATGAAACATTTGAGAATAAAAAGAAATAGAACAATTTGTGTAGAACCTTTATAATCAAATGTTGCCATTTACACACCAAATTAGTCAAAATAGAGATTTTGGTGAAATTTGACAAAATCCCATTGATTTCAACCAAATTTACACCTACATGACCTAGGAAACATTAGAGTATAGTGGTAGTCAAATCAATCAGATAAATTTTATTTGTTATAACAAACATCATTTTACAAGATTTATTTGTCTAGTCATGCGATATATGTCTCAGGTCCTGAAAACCAATGGAAATTAAATGTTGTAAAGTTGGTATTGATGTTAATCCTAACTTCATAACAAGGTCACTGATAAGGAAATTAGAAAAAAAAATAACACATTTCATATCTAGTTATGATAATTTAACTATAATTTGCTTGGTCAATTGTTTGATAAAGTTTGATTTTGTCAGTTTTTATGGAATTCCCATTTTTGAATTAACGGTTGAGTTCAGTATTTTTGCTATACTTTTCCTTCTGTGATACTAGCCATTTAATTACAATAGCAATTTTAAATGTAATCTTAAAATCAGGATTTTTTAATTCCTTATCAAACCTTCTACTTTGTCTAGTTGACTCTTTTAACCCCAAAGTGTAAGAGTAACCACAAATCTGATTACGTAATCCAAACAAAGATTTTCACATAATTAGGATAAAATTGAGAATGGAAATGGGGAATGTGTCAAAGAGACAACAACCCGACCATAGAATAGACAACAGCAGGAACACATATATCTTACACAATATATCAATGGAATTTCTGCAAGCGCTTTTAATATATTTGAAGATGTAATATATATTTGTAGAAGTAAATTTGTCAGATTTAAATTTTCTTTTCAAGGTTTGAATAATCTCCTATTATGCTTCTCCAAACTTTTCTTATACAAATAATTTTTTTTAAAACCTCTGACATTCTGAAGTTTTGGGAAGTCAAAACATGCCACTAAATTTTTTTCTTGCTGGAGTAGTATTTTTTAATAAGCATTTAACCTTTTATCTCTTTTATGTTTACCATGAATTAATTATTACTGTAAATTAAGAAATTAATGTGAACAAGTGAAACTGCGAGCTACTGCTCACTGATGATACCCCCTCCCAAATACTTGACGGTAAACAGGAAGTTTTTGAGTGATGAATCTGAAAACACATCACACGGTATAGCTGACTTATATAAACCCTGAAACCAAATTTCAGAAATCCTTGTACTGTAAGTTCCTGAGAAATATGTGACGAAAATTTTTAACTTGGCTATCATGTGTAAAATGATACAAGTGTTAGGTAAACAGGAAGTTGTTGAGTGATGAATCTGAAAACACATCACACGTTATAGGTGACTTATATAAACCCTGAAACCAAATTTCAGAAATCCTTGTAATGTAGTTCCTGAGATAGATGCGACAAAAAAAAAATATCCATGGGACGGACCGACGGACTGACAGACGGATGGATGGACTGAGGTAAATCAGTATACCCCCACTTTTTTAAAGCAGGGGTATAATTATTGATAAATGGTAAAAATGCAAGATCTAATTAATGCAATTGCAAAAAAAATTTTGAAAGAAAATCACTACTGAAATTATGTAAGTTATTATTATTTTGAGCCTGATACCATGGATACTGTTACCTTTTTTGCATCAATGAAACATCACAATAATTTGAAAATTTACAGTATTTCAATTAGTTTGCTATTATAATGTATCAAGTGTTCTGATGAAAGTATACATACCAAATTATAGTTAAGCTGAAGTCCACAGGCCATGACAAGAAAGTCATACTTTACCTACAAAATACAGATATAATGATCACTCGGCTACAGATTAAGACATTTTTAAGGATGAAGTAAGTCTGAAGTTTTAAGCTTAGCAACAAAAAAAAAAGGGGGGGGGGGGGTTCCAGCTTTCATATTCTTATCTGAATCCCCCATGGTAAGGGTTATATATTTACCAATTTTCTTAAAAGAGAGCTCCAAGCATGCCCCAAATATCTTCAAAATTTGAAATGATAAAATATATTACAATGATTAATGTACTGATCATTGATTTAAATAGACAATGCTTGATGCATAATGCTGTAAATGAATAATATTCAAATTCTTATTTAATTCTTCATAATCAACATGAATAAAACACATTTTACAGCAGAAAGCTTGCACAAATTTTGACCATTATTCTCTATTCTTTATATTTCAGCACACCATAATTCTCTATTCTTTATTTTTTTTATTATTTTTGTCTATTCTTTATTTTTTTTTTGTTTATTTTTGTATTTTCTCTATTTTTTTGTTTATTTTTGTCTATTCTTTATTTTTTTTTTTGCTTATTTTTCTCTTTGGTTTTTTCTTCCAAATTCTCTCATCTTTTTTTTTTTTTGCTTGCTTTTTTTCTGATATTTAATTTGTTTGTCTTTATTCTGCACTTTTTGTCCATTTTTCTTTATTCTGTAAACCCCATCCAGACCCTCTGAAATGTAGTTAGGTTAAACAAGTTTTATGTGAGCACAGAATATGGTACGACTTGTATAGTACATGTCATTTTTTTCATAAGAATAAACATGATAAAAGGAGATTTTGGATATATGTCAAAATGAGACAGCTACCCAACAAAAAACCAAGATTCATCTAAAGAACAATTAACAGTTTAAAAGTTAGACAGTGTGGACACAATATGTCAAGCTTTAAAATGTCCCAAGTCCAAGAAACCTACTTCTTACATTTTTCTTTTTGCTGGTACTAAGATTTATTGAAAGCAATTATTACAAATTGTCAATTTGTATTACCTCTTCACCAGTTGCTGTGGTAACTGTACAATTCTTAGGGTCAAATGCCTCAGCTGTAGTTTTCAACCAATCAGCTTTTTTAGGTATGACCTTTGACATTTTCTTCCCAGAATCTTCAACATTCTTGATACCTCCTCCAACAAGTGTAAACCAAGGTTGGTAATAATGGTCCTGAAATAAGCATAGTTGTTATCTGTTATATTATATTTGTTTTTTGTTTATCAAGCTTATTGTTTTGTCATAACATCAGGCTGTTGGTTTTTTATCTAAATTGTTTCAAATAATTTAATATTGCCAAATTTCAAGTACTAGGTCATCATGGTCATGTAGGTAAAATCTTAACCCTAATAAAAAACAAGAATGAAAATGTTAACTTTACCTCGTCTTTTAGTCAGTTAATTCTTTGATTGGGATTCAGAGGTCAGAGCTATTAAAATTGTTTTAATTTGCCTGCCAAATAAAACTGTATAACAAAAATATAGTTCTGACTTCCCAATGTAATTAGGGATTACTGAGTCAGTGAGTTTAGACTATTACAATCAACGGATTCATGATGGTGACTAAAGAGATGTGGAGTGCAGGGCCTAATCTAGGATTCTGAAGAGGGAGAAGTGACTTCTCCTTCCATGAGAGAGAAGGGAGAAGTGGTCAACTTCTTGGAGAAGTGAGATTCCATTACCGTTTCGGTTGCATCGTGTTTTCAAGCTTATCACTAAGGAATTCAATAAAAGATGTACTTGCAGTTTTTTCATATGTTATTGTACACAATGGTTATATAGAAAGTTCTTAATAAAAAGGTCTAGACAATATATAGTTGATATTTATTTATTGATACCATAATGTGTTCTAAATAAAATTTGTTGATTGGGACATGAGGTAGTAGCCTAGTAATATTGTCAAGATTATGATGCATTAAATTCATGTGTATCTGCCTCAATTTATTTTTAAAACTTCAGAAAAATATGATGAATTTCACATGACTGGGAATTTAATTTATATCACCACTTGTCATTGTTTTGTAAAACATTATTGAATGTCCAGGACATTTATGTTAGTTGTAGTAAATTGAGATTATCGTTAAAGATTGTAAGTCTATAAATAAAAATATCTTTCAATCTCAAGTTAATTATCCGATAAAGAGCTAATTTCTATCATTTTTTAAAAAATATCATCCATATCAACGAAGTGGTCATGAGAAAAAATCCACTGCTGATCACAATCTGGTCGAGTGTCGTACGTTTGCAATCACATTATCTATCCATCAGCTGTCTTTCTACCTTTTATATTTCAATTTTTATTCAATGAATATAATAAATCTACCGTTAATTCCCACCCTTCACCTACCGAATAGTAAAATTGATCGACTCGTGTAGGCAATAAAAATAAAACAAATCAGCTGAGTGATTACGCAACATCCTCAGATGAAAATCATCGTAAAACGATAACTTAAACAGGTGGTCAGTTTTCCGTTTGAACAGTTTTGAAAGTTATATCCGAGGATGTTCAAAGTCGCCGTTGTATTTATTTATTTGATCGTTTACAGTATAAGTCCCGGGTCGTTTCGAAAATCTCAATTTTCCTTGTCAGCCATTTTTTTTACCTGTGAGACTTGTCAATCACAAGTTGTCTCCCTTTTACCTATTTTGATAGTGATTTGACTTCGCTATGAAGTCAGTCGGCCGGCGAGATTTAGCGATTTTCAAAATTCTTTGGCGACTTAAATCGTCATTTCGCCGGCAAGATTATGGCCTGGAGTGAAAATTTCAGCCTTTCTTGACTCTGTCATCTTCATATTTTCTGGGATAATTACACTAAAGTGGTGCCCAGACTTTGACCAGGAAATCAATCTTCAGATATCTCTTGGTTTTTCTGTTCCCGCCGAGTTGCCTGGTAGTTCTCTTTGAGTACTTTGTCTTCCTCTACTATAATAACAGACTTCCCAGTTTCCTAGCACTCCCGTGGTGTTGAGTTGGGGATTTATATAAGTAGTGGGTTGTACATAATTTAGTGACACATCTCCATTAATCCTGTTAGGGAGTGTACATGGATACCACAGTTACCACTGTACCCTTGCAGCTTTAATAATGGAGGTATTAACCAGTACATACATACTAATATATAAGTCCTAGATATTTCATAGTTTAACATCTGTTAGTCATGTTAGTCTGTAAGGTGGCCTACAAGTACTTATTACTAATATATTAGTTAACTTTCTATTAACATGATTAACATATCAAAATTTTTTATCAAATTATTTACATCTTTTGGTTCAATAATTCCAACTTGTCCAGCACCAAGTTTCTTTGAAAATTTACTTGCAGTCGCACATCCACCACTACCGGAACCAACAATAAGCAGTTTGTAATGTCGTCCCAAAGACGCAGAACTTGTAGAAAAACTTTTTGTCACACTTTTCCTACAGGCTACCACTAACAGTTTAGGACTCGTCATGTCCCACTATGTTCCGTAGACGAATGTAAACTAAATGTCAACTGGGTTTAAATGTATAAATTAATTCTGAATATTTGAAGTTGAACCTCTCTTTGCCAGCTGGCACTCAGACAGAGTTGTCGTTCTTACACTATAAAATAACATCCGGTAATTTTTTTGTGAGGGTCAAAGAAAGAGTAGTAGCTTTCGAAAAAACTTGTTTAAACCCGGCATCAATTTTATATAGTTTAGATGTGGATTGCCGAAAATTTACAGTATAGATACTGGAAACATGGTAATTATAAGGGGACGAAGTCCCCTATAACAGAAGAAAAATCAATAAAAAAAAAAAAAAAAAAAAAAAAAATCGGGAAAATTTCCCGAACTTTTCATTGTACTAATGAACTCAATATCGTTAACTTTTTTTTTGTTACTTTTTTTAATTCCCGCAAACGGAAAAAATCGATGTGAAATACGACATGAATTTTTATTTGTTTACAAAAACAAGAATTTAGAAATTTTAGTAACTTGTGTAGTTTATTTAAATTTAATTGTACAACGGAAATAACCGAAGTTTGGACAACATCTTAACTTACGCCATGTTTCATCGTCTGCTGTATCTTTCCATTATCAGTGACAAATTTCCTAAATAACCACAGGTACTTCATTTAAAAGTTACAATATCATAATTAATGATAACATTTGTAGTGTAAAAGTTCCGTCCAGCCATGGGAACATAGAAAAACCTTCTGCAAGCAATAAATTTCGGGAGAAAGGTAGCCGGAGGTAGCAAAATCCGGTGCTCTGCCTCTGGCTGACCATGACCACTATTATTTATCTGCTACAGAATTTCCCATATCAAGTTACAGTGATAATGAAGTTGGTTATACTGTTAAATGTGATCACGGTTATTCCTGTAGCTCACAGACAAATGCAGGTGAAATCCAAAACTTAACAAAAGTTTTAAACAAAAACAAAAAAAATATATATTCAATTTCACTATCTGTAGTCCAAATAATTATGACGTCTTGCAAGGCTATTTTAATTTTTTTTTCTGTGACGCCTTCCTAGCCTTGCAAGACGTCATAATTATTTGGATTACACTATCTGTAGACTGTACTTCCTTTGACAAACTCTCAACGAATCTAGGAGATGGAGACTTTTTTTTTCACTCTCTAAGTTTAATCATAAAACAGCTGTAAAAGGAGACTTTGAAATTCAAGCTGCCGACACATTATTTGGATGCAATATAAATAATTGCCTCCCGCAGTCGCCTGTATATTTTATGCGTCAGTTTAAACCTGATCAAAACATTTTCCCTCTACTGAATACTTTTATCGGGTGCACATTTCAACCTATTAAAGCAATAAACACTTATGGCTATAACGTCACAGTTCCCAAATTGCACCGAGTACCCAATTTGCACCTATTCATTAAAAATAACTGCGGAAATCTTACAAGTTTTCTTTGAGACTAAACAATTTATACTGTTAGGATTTGACATTATACATGTCTTTCAACATCGGTTAATATATTTAAATATACACAAATCGTTAAAATGAGAATATATCAACAGATGAAGCATTCCCGGGAAAAGTAAATCTACGAAAACGTCAGTGTTGTCACCATGCGAAGTTATCTAATTATCATCTTTTAAAAATGTAAGCAACTTCACAACTGCAAGTTAATTTTCATGACCAAAATAAAATAAAGTACAAACAAAAAAGCAATAAAATGCTTCGCCAAGCACAGCCTAATACAACCGCAGATGCAGATTAGCATATAAAAAACACCAAAAATTTTATGTCAGTTGAAATCAAACATATTTTAATTTTGGACCCTTCAAACTTTAATATGAACTAATTTAAAGGTATCAGGTGAGTCCGAACATTTCTATTCAGCAGCAGTCTCCAACTACATATCTCCTTAATTTTATATGATAGTCCCACAAAAATGTTGAAAAATTATGTGTACATTTAAATTTTTTTCTAGATTCTCTCATGTCATACATGTGAAAGTGGTACCTTTTTGGTCACTATTTATGTGTTGTGTCTAAATATGAATTGTAACACTTTATAGTGACTGACCAGGTCAAACAAATACTTCTCAAGAAACATGCAGAGAGAGAAGACAACTTGGAACAGCACCAGCCATGCCAGACTATGTATGAATAAAAACTCAGATCGGAATAGCATGGACGATATCCTTGTTATATGTCCTTGTGAATAGTAAGGAAAGCTATCAATAATTCTGCAGATAACGCAGTTTTATCAGGTTTATCGTACATTTTCTGTTCAAATTTTCACACAATCAATGAAATGTTCAAAAAGGCAAAACTATCTTTTTATTACTAAAAGTTTCAAACAAAGACAAGTGTTTCATTCATGAAATAACTCGTGCGTTTCTGCGAAAAAAATCATGTGCAATTTTGTGAATTAAAGGGAAAGAAGATCCTTTAGCGGTGCACTCGCGCATGTCAATTGCAAACTGACCCAATATATTTTCTTTATCATGACCAGTTCACTGATACTGACGTCGACATTATCAAGAAGTACACATCAAAGGAAAAATGTACAAATTACCGATAAAATAATTTACACACCCTGTTTCGTGTGTATCTCCTGCCATTTCAGTATTTGAGAAATAATCAATGTAAAAATGGTAAATTTTTGGAGAAAATAACAAAAAATTATGGAAAAAACAACCCAAAATTGTTGTTTTTGACCACTGACTCCTAAACTGTTGGTACCATATGATAACCCCGAAAATCAATTCTTACCTTCCTTTTGTGTATTGAAGTTGAACCTTCTGGTACAATTTCATACATTGTCATAGAGATCCATTTACTTAAACTAAAGTTATTGTCGGAAACCAAATGTGTCTTCGGACAACAACAGCGACATGATTGCATTACTCGAAAGAAATTTTTGACATATCCCCTTATTTCCATTCTGAATTTTATTTTGCCGTCGTATAAAAACTTGAAAAGTAAGCTAATAAAACAAAATGCAAAAATGACATAAAACTGACTCTGAATTAGTACATGAAATTGATGTAGAAACCCACAAACAGAAGATGACCAGGAATACATTTATACTGCTGAGCAGTGATCTCCCCTCAAATTTTAAATAGCATCCTAGAAAATAGCAAAATCTTTAGATGATCAACTTAACAATCCTATTTATGATTCCTTATGCTCAGTCTTCACAATGAACTGCTAAATCTACAGGCCCGGAGCTCAATTTTTGAAAATTTTTAGTTAGATTCTGTTGGCTTGTAGATATGATTTTTACAGGGCCGAGAGCAATATTACAAGCCTGGGCTGCCTGGGCTGCCACTCAGCGTGAAGACTGTATGCTTAGATCAAAATGAAAAACCTGATCAAAATATTATTCTAAACAGGCTCACTGTAAATTCAAACTGTTCTTTTAACAATCAGAATGATCCTCTTGCTGGTCACATATATATGAGATGCAGGAAACTGGGAATACAATATGAACATCCAGCTAATTTAGAAAGTAAAAATAATTCAACAAACAGAAAGCGTTGTTTGCAATACTAAATAAAAAAAAACAGCTACAACTTTTAGATATTGATGAAAAAGATATTCCAAATCCTTCACCTTTTCATGAAAATCAACAAAAAATTAATTTAATAAAGTTATGGATTGTATAACAGTATTCATAGTTAAACAAATGTTTTAAATTTTGTAAAATTTGCAAAGAATTTGCAAAGAAAGAAAAATGAATTTGGATTTGAAAATGGCACAAGATAATGAATTTAAGCATTGTCATTTAGATAAACCACCAATAAATTTATTTTCAGCAGAAAAAAATATGGGCAATAAGGGTGCAACCATTTAGCTTCAAAAGGGCAAGGGGGGTATGGTTTTTTGTTTGAGTTAGATTTTTTTTCATGCAAAGGGCTCCAACGCTATCAATCAAAAATTAACACTAGAAGGTATGGGGATAATCTGGATTCAGAATATTTTTTTGTCCTCTGCTTGATTATGATTTTTTCTCTCATCAATTTGCATTGTGAATCAGAAAACATACTCCATCCTGCCTTTTGAAGTTCAATGATCGTTCCCTTAACATTTTCCATATGAACTTAATATTTTATTTTAGACAAAAACTATATGTAGGACATTCGTCCTGAACGTGGATGAAATATTTGCCACTGGACGTTAAGCAAACCATCAATCAATCAATAAGTAGGACATAGTCTTGGTAAGCTGGCATTCAAGGTAGCGCCTTCCTCATATTAAGGGGACGAAGTCCCCTATTACAGTAGAAAAATCAATAAGAAAAAAAAAAAAAAAAAAAAAAAAAATCGGGAAAATTTCCCGAAATTTTTATTGTACTAATGAACTCAAAATAGTTAACTTTTTTATTTTCAGACTTTTTTTATTTTCCCGCATTTGCGCAGAAATCTACTTCCTTTTTCCGGTCTCGTTTGCATGAGTCTTTGAGTAAAATATATATTTATCAGTCTAGTAAAATATAGGAAGGAACGCAATACCAATTGTATGAGGCAGGCGTTACCTGTGAAAGGGGACGAAGTCTGTATGAATTATTTTTTTTTTAATTCAAACATATTTTAACTTCAAAATCTGTTCAAAAAAGAAACGGAAATACCCTTACGTTTCCGATTTCGCTTCTGTTGTTCGGAATTTTAGTTGTGACGTTATTTATGTTATGACGTCATATTCAATGTAAACAAAGAAACGCTATCAGGTAACGTTTTTTCATATCAAGCCATTCAAGGAATTATTAAAAATGGAATTGGTATTGCGTTCCTTCCTATATTTTACTAGACTGATAAATATATATTTTACTCAAAGACTCATGCAAACGAGACCGGAAAAAGGAAGTAGATTTCTGCGCAAATGCGGGAAAATAAAAAAGTCTGAAAATAAAAAAGTTAACGATTTTGAGTTCATTAGTACAATAAAAATTTCGGGAAATTTTCCCGATTTTTTTTTTTTTTTTTTTTTTTTTTCTTATTGATTTTTCTACTGTAATAGGGGACTTCGTCCCCTTATTATTCATAATGTGCTGAACTCAAAATCGTTAACTTTTTTTTAACTTTTTTTTTTCAGACTTTTTTTATTTTCCCGCATCTGCGCAGAAATCTTTT